AGTCGTTCCTTGGGGTTTTTTCCTGAATTCGGTGCCCATCCTCAAGAGGAAAGTGAGCCCCGCCCCCATTTATTTTTTATTTATTTATTCTTGATCTTTTGGCTTGGTTTTGCACCAGTCTTGCCTTGCAGAGTGGGTGGCAAAGTTAGCAAACGGTGTCAGGGAGCTGTACTGGTGGCAAGCAAGAGGAAGACCATGGCATGGTCAGGGTTGGAAGGGACCTGTAGAGATCCCCCAGTCCAACTCCCTCCTGCCAGAGCAGGGTCACCCAGAGCACGTCACACAGGATGGCACCCAGCGCGGTTTTGAAAATCTCCCCAAAGACGGAGACTCCACGCCCTGCCTGGGCAGCCTGTGCCAGGGTTCCATCACCTGGAAGGAGTTCTTCCTCGTGTTTAGATGAAACTTCCCTTGTTCCAGCTTGTCCCCGCTGCCCCTTGTCCCGTCATTGGGCACCGCTGAATAAAGCCTGGCTCCATCCTCCCTGCACCCATTCCTCAGATAGTTCTAGACATTGATAAGGTCTCCTCTCAGCCTTCTCTTCTCTGAGCTAAACAGCCCCAGCTCTCTCAACCTTTCCTCATGCGAGAGATGCTTCAGACCCTCAATCTTCATTGCCCTCCACTGGACTCTCTCCAGTGGTTCCCTGTCTCTCTTGAACTGGGGAGCCCAGAACTGGACACAATATTCCAGATGTGGCCTCACCAGGGTGAAATAGAGGGGGAGGATGAGCTCCCTTGACCTACTGCCCACGCTCTTCTTGATGCAGCCCAGGATGCCCTTGGCCTTCTTGGCCACAAGGGCACATTGCTGGCTCATGGTTAACTCACTGTCCACCAGGACTGCAAGATCCTTCTCCTCAGGGCTGCTTTCCAGCAAGTCTACCCCTAAGCTACACTGGTACGTGGGGCTGTTCCTCCCCAGGTGCAGGACCCCACATTTGCCCTCGTTGAACCTCATTAGGTTCCTCTCTGCTCAGCTCCTCCATCTTGGGGGCTGACCTTCCACCTTCTTGGCTGCTTCCTGCGAGACCCGAGGGAAAGCCACCGAGACTGGTCCATCCTCCCACAAAAACCATCTCAGTGCTTTCTGGTGGAACAAGACCATGCAGGGATTAGGGGCAGCAAAGCAAAAGGATGCCAGCCCCATCTCTTCCCCTCTCCAACCCCATTTCTTCCTCCCTCCAACCCCAGCCAGGTTTCCGTCTTGCCGAGGAACTGCCGTGCCCCTGGTGACATGTTCTGTTAAGAGCAGCGTCAGCAGAGCTCTCACATGGGGCATCCCAGCCCTGCACTGCCCTGCAGCCCCCGTACCGCCAGGCTGGGGGTCACACTGCTCCTCTCTTCCCACCCCCACTTCAGGAACCAAAGCCCTTGCACCGAGAAGATTAAAGGAAAAAAGGAGAAAAAGTGAAGGGTGGGGCCATGGGTCCGTCTCGGGTGGCTGCGAGAGCAGTGGTGCCCATTGCCATCCTCATCTTCATGGCAACCCTATCAGCCCCCCCGACCTCAGCTCGGCAGGGTTTATTAACACGTGGCCATCCACGTTATCGGTCTCTGGCTGGCTTTATCCCTCCAAATTGTTTGAGCAGGAAACTCCTTGGTAAATGCTAATAATAAAGCATTTCTAAAGTGCTCCGACGTACAGGTCAACGACTGAGCCAATACATTGTTTGTAAAAAACCCTGTAGCCTGCAGTTTATAGCACAATTAGTTACAGGTTTTTATAGCATCTGTTTAGTATTTTGGGAGAAAAAAAAAAGTTATAAATGTAACTGTTATATTCTATTGTACTTTATAGACAGAGAAAGTTATATTAGTAATAATAACTCTCACGGCTTCGACAGCATTGCCCCGCTCCCAAGAAAACGAGGGCTACAAAGAACTGCTCT